AACTGCCATTATTACCATGTAAAGACACTGGGTTTCGGGGCGAAGACACAAAACCATAGTTATTGGGCGAAGACACCAGATCACAGTTATTGGGCGAAGATACTAGACCACAATTATTAGATAAAAGCAAATCATTATTGTTAGATAATGATACCAGTTCACTATTTATTATGTGCTCCTTCCCCACGCACAATCGTCATAGTCATACCTTATAAGAACAAAATCAAAGTTGTAAAGCAGTGCCAAAGAACAGAGCCAACACTTAAAGGAGGCAAAAACTAGGCCAGAGTTATATAACAGCGTCAAAGAACAAAAGCCAACACTTAAGGAAGATAAGAATAAAATCAAAGTTATAGGTGCATCAAAGAAAAAAAAAAAACGCTTAAAGGAAACAAGAAGTTATAGAGCAGCGCCAAAGAATAATGTCAATGTTTAAGGAAGAGAAACAAGACCAGAGTTATATAATAGCGCCGAAGAATGAAACCAACGCTTAAGGAAAGTAAGAGCAAGATCAATAGGCGCAAAGAAAAAAGCAAATGCTTAAATGAGGCAAGAACAAAACCAAAGATATAAAGCAGCACCAAAGAATAACGCCAATGCTTGAACAAAGCCAATGTTTAAAGAAGATAGAACAAGATCAAGTTATAGGTGTGTCAAAGAAAAAAGCAAACGTTTAAATGAGGCAAGAACAAAAACAAAATTATAAAGCAGCACAAAAGAAAAATTGCAATGCTTAAGGGTAAAAACAAATTCAGAACTATATTGTTAAGGCTAAAAAAAAAAAAAAACTATAACGTAACAAAGTGCTGCAAAATGAAGACTCACTAAAATCCAAGAATAAGTAACACCAAAGAATTAAGCCAACGCTAAATGTGGAGAAATTGCCGAATGCGATATAAAGCCAATGCCGAATGCGATATAAAGCCAATGCCGAATGCGATATAAAGCCAATGTTGAATACAAAAGCCAACGTCAGCTGCAAAAGCCAATGTCGACTACGAAAGCCAACAAGAGATGTAAAGCCAACGTTGATCAAGCCAAGTTCCAAGAAAAAAGAAGGCAAGAAAGGTAAAGTCAAAGGAAAAGTTTTTTTTTATAGCCTTACTTATAATGACGTTATTACATTTTCGTTTAAACTTGCTTTAATATTTTTTTTTTTTTTAGATTTTGAAGATCTTGCATCAGATTAGAACTTACGCACGTCAGATGGCCAATTGACAGATGACGTGCGTCATATGGAAATCAACATCTGACATGCGTCGGATCTAATCCGACGCAAGGATGCATCTGATGCACAACATATATACTGTATATAATATACAATACAAATAGAAAATAGATAAACAATGGATTAACGTCAAAACTATAAATAGTGTAGAATTATTACCATAATTGTGGACCAAGACACTATTTTAAAAAGATTCGTAGAAGCATTCCTTTAGGAAAAGATTCCAAAGATGTGTGCCATATATTGCATCCCCTCGACAACCAATAGCTATTGTTAAAGGTGCGGTAGCATACAGAAAGTAAAGTTGAATCTTGAAATGGACGTACGGAGTTGAAGTAAGAGCAGTTTTTTGACATTTTGTAATGATCCACCTGGACTCTTGTATGTTATACCGTATAAGCGCGTAATAACGCGCAGGGGTGCGTTATTTCGAGTCCTTGCACGTTATTTCGGGACGTGTATGCGTGATAATTCGAATAATTATGCTAATTTTGAAAAAAATTTCAACTACTTTCTTGAATGATAATCTGGTACATATGGAGGGGCGCGTTATTTTGAGACGCGTATAGGCGTTATTTTGGGTCAAATATGCCATTTTTAAAAAAATCAAAATTTCGAAATAACGCCCATGTGCATTATTATGTGCTTATACGGTATTCTTTTATGAATAAGCAATAATTCATAAAAATATATAGCAAATAATTCCGTTATATATATTGTAATACTATTTTAAACAATAGATAATGAGATTTGGAAGTTTGATCTTCTGGTGGTCCATGGAACAAATGTTACTGTTAATCAGACCTTTCAAGGATATATACCAGACCAAACAATAACAAAAGCATGTCGCATTAAGGATGATGGAATGAGATTACTTGGTACTCTAAAAAAAAAAAACCATCACTAGGGCAATGACTGGATTCGTCAACTCGTGACTCGAATAATTCGAGTTCGAATCAGAAATTTTTGTTAATTATTAATGTATAATATAATGAAGTTTAAAATGACTAATACTTTGCATTAATAAATTTGTAAGTAAATTTTAAATAAAAATAAAGATGTTTAAAAGACTTAAAAACAATATCATAATATAAATATAGAGCAAAACAAAAGCAGGAGGAATCTTGTAATTAAGAGAATGTCAAAACATAACTACCCATATTTCTGAAAGTAAATCTACTCCCAGTTTCGTCTGGGAATATTTTCAAAAGAAGGGTATAACTTCCACTTGTGAAATTATAATGGATGACAGGAAGAAAATGGTTCTTATATAATGATGGACTTCAAATTTAAATTAACCACCTCGTCCATAAGCACAGAATATTTAAAGATAGTTCTAGTTGATCTAGTGATATAATTATTAATCAGCTTATTGCATTCGTAACTTGTAATTGATATATTTTTATAACATACAAAATTGAATTATATTTGCTTTATGTAACTCGCTATTTGAAGTAATTTGTTTTTGTAACTTGTAATTTATAAAATTTATAAAATTTATCAATAAACTAATTGCCATGACTCGAAATACTCGAACAAAAGTAATTCAATCGAATGATTTGAGCACTCTTCTTGGTTTAATTCGTGAGCCACAAGTTTATATGAGTCTAGTCACTACACTAGGGTGATAATTTTTGGCACAATAGAAATAAATGTCACTTTGAATTGGAAATTAGAAGATAATTATTCATACTTTTGAAAATCAATTTATTGTCAATTTATTGTCAATTTATAATTTGAAATGTAATTTAAAACGGTTATAATAAAAAATAATATCATATCTGTACTTTGGAGCAAACAAAAGAAATATTCAGATTTACACCTTTTATGTTTTTGTTGTATTCTTAATATATTTGGTGTTAAGATTAGGTGTTAGGTTGAATTACTGAAAATGTTTTTATTTAGAGCATCAAATATTGATTGCTTAGCCAGCTTTAAGACATAGACGTTATAAGCTTTGATTTATTGTTTTGTGGTTTTAGCATTCTCATTAGCAGCTACATTTCTCATTTTAACTAAAAAGAGGATCGCCAAAACAAAATAGATCACTTGTCAAGAAAATTTTATTCGTTACAGTGATGTACATATGTAACTTTATGTTATGATCTAGGTCTAAAATAGCTCCCCAAATTTTTCTTATCAAACTCAAAGTTGTATTTATAGCAAAAACATCTATCTTTTTTGACCCACCCTAAATAAAAAAAAAGAATACACATCGTTTTGACCCATGTACTTAATAATGTATTAAATGATCATTGAACTTTATTTCCTTTTATTAAATATACAGATTACTTATTTTTGTTAGCTAAAACTTTTTATATATGCAATTGCTAAGATAAATTATCAAATAAACTAGTAATTTTTTCAACTTAAATATATATCTGGTTTTGTTTTTTAATACTTAACTAGTACAAACTTTAAATTTAATCAATAAATCTTAACGTTAAAGACTATATATCTAACTCATCAATGTTTTTGTCACAATAAAACTTCTCAAAAAAAAAAAAAAAACGCTATAATATCGAAAAAAAAAAAATTCCTCCCAAGGCTCTCAATAATCACCATCTTTGCCTATAACACAAGGTGATCCAAAAATACAATTTTCACATATCTTGCTAATTCAATCTCTAGCACGTGAAGAGTATTCGCTAATTTTATTTTTTTTAACATTAGTTAGATGTGAATAAATTGCTAGTACATGAATTATTTAATAAATATATACCTTTAACATCAGTGCCAATTGGACGATGCCGAAAATTAGACGCGCCTCTTCAACAGGATAATAATTAATGTCAATTATTTTATTTAAATTACGAGTTATAACTTTTGTGACCTATTGCATTAGAAGTAAATTAATATTAAAAGACAGACCACATGCAAGTGTTTAAATTCATACGTTAACAAACCTTGGTAAAGCTATGCTTGCTAGATTGCACACTGCCACCTAATCACTGTTAAAATATTCGATAATCTCAGTGCATATATCACTACATTTGATCGTTCCAAGTCTGCTGATTAGATTTACGATTACAAGAATCCTTATAAAACATGTATAGGCCATTTCGATTGTGATTCTAATATTGCAGACCATACTTTTTGAACTTTAAGAGTTTTGCGTTAATCCTCATATAATTTCTAAATTTGTGTAATAGAAAAATCAGTAATTCACATTAGTGATAGTTATTTAATCTTATATCGCAACCTTACCTCAAATTCATCTATACACCCATAAGTCCAGGTGCATCAAAAAGACTCTAATCATCGTCAATTTAAATAAATCAGATATCCAGAGGACATAGAATAAGTCTCGTGTTCGCATCTCTTCTTTACTGGCCTTCGCGAACTCTAAATAAGGTAGGTAGTGATTTCCTATTCTATTTTGGGGCCGTGGCAGCAGCAATTTTAGTTCCGAGCAGTTGGCTGAAAATTATAAAGTGGTATATAGCAAAATAACCGAATTAAGTTGTTTGAACCACATATATTATCAACTACGCTGAGTGGTATTCTTTTTTAAATCTAAAAAAAATATCTAAATGTCATGTTTCCAAATAGACTACAATATATCGAGGCATTTATTTCCCTCTTAATCAACGTATCATGTAGTGTTATTATATAGGAATAATCCCATTTGAATAACTATTAGCACCCGCAATGTAAGATTCGAAGGATCAAATATTGTGAATTTTTAAGCCAATATCACAAGCTGTTTTCGAAATTATGGTACATGTCTTTAATGTTTCGTAGATGAGCTTGATGGAACCATCTTTCATTATCAGAAGGAAACAACTTGAAGCTGAGATCGTGGTGTTCTAGTGTTAAAAAGAGTTGGCGACGCATGTGTAAAATATTTTTCAGACATTGAATTGTTGGTTTCAATTGCTGCATCGATATCTTCAACATGAATGCAAACAGCCACACGTATAGGCATTATTGTAGCCCTTTCAACTACTTTTTCGTCAATCGCAAAAGATAGGAACTTTCAAGTAGTTTGAACCCAAAATAGTATTGATCAAGGTTTATTAATCCATATAAAATCCATATAACTGAGATTGCTCTTTTAAAAATATTTTTGGCATTACAAATTTAAGAAGTTTATGTTTCAAGAAATCCTTACAAAGCCCGTTCGCAAATGCTTCTCTTATGTCTGATCCAATGTTATAATATTGAAGTTTCAAATATTTCAGTAACTTGTTCTTTTTCCTACTTTTGATCCAATATGTTTGAAACATGGATCTCCACAAAGTTAGCGTCTTGTTGTGGCGAAGATAATCACTTAACATCTTTTCTCCTTTGTAACCAATCTGACATTGGTGAATACTTAAAATTTTATGGCAGTGTTTTTAAAAAGAGTCTCCAATAATGTTTTCAATTTTTTATTCTTAAGTTGAGTTAATATAAGATTCAAAGAAGTCAAAGTATAATTCTCAGCGAGGTTCGTTACTAATCCTTCTATTGCCTGAGATTTAAGAGATGGAATACTTTCACGCATCAGACGCAAATCTACAGAGGTTATCGCAGTGCTCTTAAACATTAGTTGATTGCAATTAATTTCTTGAAGATATAAACGTTTAAGACTTTTGCCTGTTCGAAGAAGCTTTTTAATTAAAGAACGCTTAATTGCATATTCGAGCAAAGTTCCATCTTCTTTGTTGTCATATTTAGGATTAAGCCAATCTCCAACATACAAATACCGGTCGACAGAAGTAATATAACTCGTATATTCGAAAAAGAGTGGCTTTGATTGACTTGGGAGTGTGATTTTCAATGAAGCTTGCTCTTCAGGGTTTAGTGTTGAAACCAATATTTTTAGAAGTTTTTCGTCCGTAAACTTATATCTCGGTTCACTCCACAGTATAACGATGCGACACCATTCACGGTTTACAAGTATGCATGAAAATAAATTCTTAAAATTGTTACGATTATTAATGATTATGTAGGAGCACTCAAGAGGTATTGGTATCATTTTAAGCATTTTAAGTTGAAAAATTTTACGTTGAAATTTCTTTTTATTGGTTGATATGTCGGATGATTTTCATTAAACGTGATTGGCCGATATATTAACACAGCACTATAATAGTACTATAATTTTAATTGCGAGGGACCAACATGAGGTTAGTTCCAACCAGGGACGATGATTTTCTGCAAAATGCAAAATGCCGCAGAATTCACGTGAATTATGGTCTTTTGCAGAAATTCTGCGATTTTAAAATATCAAAATAAAATTTATATTTTTATTTATTAAAGTGCATTATTATCTACACAAAGGTGTTCAGGATATTCTTTAACACGAGTATGAGGGATACAACTTTATGTTGCGGCATTTTTGCAATTAGACTTTCAATAAATAAAAGGTTGTTTTTTTACTTTTTTTAGAGAAATGTACTTTAACGAAATTATATTTTTGAATATTATAATTATTGCTAATATTCGTAATTATTACTAATATTTTTATCGATTACAAATATTTTAATAAATACTGTAATAATTATGAATATTTGTAGTAATAAATTAAGTCCGATTGACTTTTTGCTTAGTTGAGCGCAGTATTTCAAAAATTGCAATTTTTTTTTTTCAAATTTGCATATTTTTGAAATCGCAGAATTATCACAGAAATTGCGAATTAGTGACGACAGAATTTTGGTTTAATTGCCGCAGAAAATCATCGTCCCTAACCGGTATCCTATATATACTACATGTAATATATATATATATATATAATACTGTATAATATACCGTAAAACGCACTTTGACTTTTTTGAGGATGATTTTTGTATTACTTTAAATAACGTCACGATTCTAGAAATGCAAAGTACTCCCATTATTCAATCAAAAGTATTCAAAAAAAAAAAAGATTCTATTCGAGCGTTTTACGGTATATACTGTAATATATATCTGATATAATATAGATAAACAATGGATTAACGTCAAAACCATAAATAGTGTAGAATTATTATACCATTATTGTGGACCAGGACACCAGTTTAAAAAGACTCGTAGAAGCATTCCTTTAGGGAAAGATTCCAAGGACGTATGCCATATATTTCATTCCTTCGACAACCGATATCCACCTCCGGTAAGTTATATATATTCTTTTATGAATAAGCAATAATTCGTAAAAATATATAACAAGTAATTCCGTTCTACTGTAATACTATTTTAGAACAAGGGATAATAAGATTCGGAAGTTTTGATCTTCTAGCGGTTCGTGGAACAAACGTTTCTGTTAATAGACCTTTTGAGAATACTGGATATATGCCGTTAAATCCAGACCAAACAACGACAGAATTTAAAGTAATACATTATAAAAGCATGTCGATCTAAATACATTAAGGATGATGGAATGAGATTACTTGTACTTTTAAAAAAAAACCATCAGTAGGGTGATAACTTTTGACACGATGGAAATAAAAATCATTTTATTTTTGAAATCATTTTTCAAATCAATTTTTGTAATGTTTATATTTATCATTTTAATAAATCATCAAAGTGGTCATAATAAAAGTGCAATACCACATCCGTACTTCAGTACTTCGAAGAAATATACAGATTCGTGTATAATACACCTTTTATGTCTTATTGTATTCTTAATGTAAAAATTTGATGTTAAGATTTGATGTTAGGATTTGATGTTAAGATTAGGTGTTAGGATGAACTTTGGTCTTGAATATGTTTTTATTTAGAGCATCAAATACTGATTGCTTAGCAGTTTTTTAAATATAGACATTAAAATTTATGGATTTATTGTTTTGTGGTTTTAGCATCCTCGTGAGCAGCTACATTTCTCATTTTAACTAAAAAGAGGATCGCCAAAACAAAAGAGATCACTCATCAAGGAAATTTTATTTACGTAATGTTCATTACAGCGATGTACTAGTGATGCAAACGGCTAGCTCCGGCTAATCATAATGGAGCTGAGCTGCTTTTTAGATTAGCCGAGCGCGGCTTCAATTTGATTACTACTAGGGTTGGCATTACATAAATTACATTGTAACTTACGAAATTGTAATGTAACTTTACATTAGTCACGTGATAATTGCACCAGCGTTAAATAAGTTTTGCCGGCATTAATAGTTATCCGTCATTATGTTCGGAACTGTAATTTTATACTTACTTTGATGCCAGATTTATAAAAGTTTTGGCCAAAATTATTCGCATGATCAAAATTACATGTAATTTTGATTTCTGAAACTTTCACCGATTTACGTAAAATTACGGTAATTTGCCAACCCTAATTACTACTATCATTATAAAAAAAAATTTATTTGGCGGATATTTATTTAGCAGAAATATATGTAAGCACATACAAATATCTTTATTTTTTAAAATTAAAAGAAAAAAAAAACTCTAAAAAATACATTTTTAAAGAAAAAAAAAAGCTAATCTAGAATTAGCTTTTTTGGCAAAAAAATGCATCAATTAATTCTTGCTCTTCTTCCCACCCGAGATCGTTATTGCCTATATTAAGGAACGTGAGTGTACTATTTCTTCTAAGCGCCTTAGCTATTTCTTTCCCACCTGCTGGCCCAAGACCATTATGTCGGAGGACAAGGGAAAGCAATGTGCTGTTCTTGCAAATCCCATTTACAAATGCTGCTATTATATCTGGTCCAATATTATAATATTGGAAATTCAAATACTTCAACGAATTGTTCATGACCAGGGCATTTGCTAAACTTTTTCCTACTTTCGATCCAATATGCCTGTAACGTATATCCGGATTTCCACAAATTGTGAGTGAGGTTAACGTATTATTGTATCTTAGATAATGACCCAATAACTTTCCGCCATTTTTGCTTATTTGCCGACCGGAAATATTAAGACTCTTTAAGAAAGTGTTTTTGGATAGAGCCTCTATTAGTTTCTTCATTTCTGAAAAATGAAACTGATCCACTATAATACTCAACGTAGTTAAAGTATAATTCTCGTCGAGATTCGTTACTAATCCTTCTATTGTCTGATTTTGAAGAGATCGAAAATCTCTTGCGAAGGATTTCAGTCGCAAAACTACAGAGGTTACTGCAGTATTTTTAAACATCAGGTGAATGCAATTAATTTCTTGAAGGTATAAACTTTTAAGACTTTTTCCTGTTCGAAGAATCATTCTAATTAAATGATGTTTAAGTGCACATTCGAGATATTCTTCTCTGGGGTAATTACGACTGACCCAATCTTCAACTCCAAGATACAACCACTGGTCGACAGATCTAATATAACTCGTATATTCGAACAAAAGTGGGTTTGGTTGGCTTGGGAGCGTGATTCCCGCCAATTGAGCTTTATCTTCATGGGTTAATGTTGAAAACAATATTCTTAGAAGATTTTTGTCTTTAAACTTACGTCCCGGTCTACTCCACAGTATGGGTATAACGATGCGACACCATTCACGGTTTACAAGCATACATCGAAATAGAGCCTTAAAATTTTGTCGAAGATTGTAAATGATCATTTAGGTGCACTCAGGAGGTATAGTTAGCATTTTAGGCATTTTAAGATGAAGTTGAGAGTTGAAGTGAGTAAAAGTTAAACGCGACAAAATTTTACGCGAAATTCTTTTTTATCATTGTTATGTCAGATGATTTTCATTAAACGTGATTGGCCGATATATTAATACTAAATTTGTTAATATTGCAATATTGAGATACGTATACTGTATAATGATAATGATAATAATCCGATATATTGTACTCTTTAAAATTTTGTCACTAATTGTCAAAGATAATAAACGAATGAATTTAAATATAATTTCATTTGGTCAAATAATATTTTAAGGTCTGTCTAAGGAATTGAATTCCGAAGGAATTCAATCCTTTAGACTGATCTTGAATCCTCCACCAAATAATCAGTTATCAGTCAATGTATGCCTGATAAGTTATTATTACAAGTAACGAATTTCGGTTAAATGGTGAGTGAAATGGTCAATTCACAAGATAAGATTTTACCATTTTTGGACATTAACTAAAAAAAAATAATAAGATATATAAGAATGCAATAATAATCAAAATACAATTTTTAAAATCTTATGAGTAACCTAATTTACCTATTTTTTGGATCTTCAACTTATACTTATTTTTTTCATCAGATTTCCTATAAGGTTGTAATCGCTAGTCGTCAAGTTGAATGAACGAATTTGCTAAAACGTTCGATTAAAATCTTATTTGGTCAAGGATTTTCAAGGTCAGCCTAATAAATTGAATTCCTTATGAATTCAATAATTTAGGTTGATCTTAAATCCTCGACCAAACAAACCTATTGTCGAGAAGAATCTGTTGTAAATTCAAAT